TTGAAGCTTCATCCTGAAGAGAAAACAACAAAGAGCACTGGTTTTAAATTAGAAAAGCAAACAATTCCACTTCTCTCCTTTCTTGTCGTTGATTAGAGTACACTGAGTAAGACAGACTAAGGTTAAGACTTCTGAGAGGGAATTTCCTGCACTCCTTTGATCTAAGTCACTACGAGTACTAAGCAATAGAGTCACAGGTAAATTAATTTTTTTTTTTTCTGAGTGCCTTGCATTGTGTGAGTTTCCTACAGACATATAAACTAAACCTGCACAGCCATTTGCAACTACCAGTACCAGAAAAATGGAAAGCACTTAAAACCCACTACTGTGATGTTTCACTTCATTTTGAAGATGTGAATGACCTGTGATGGAAAGCAGGAAAGCAGGAATAGGCTGAATGTATATATGAGCAGAATGTTAAATACAAGGAGAAATCTGCCCTTTTAGACCTGATTCAGTGCTACACTATGGTTGCTATACATTATTTTGGCAATGTAAAAAAAACTTAAAGGACATAAAAATTATATTTGCATTCTGCCTATGCTCTGATTCTCTAATACAGCGATGGTACACTGTCCATACAGCTGTGCTTTACGTGACTGGCAAGATCCTAACAGATGACTTTTCCCCATCTTTTCTTAGAAATACAAACAAATTAACAAATGCAGAGCTAATTTGGGGCCAGAACAGCATAGTGCAGATTGATCCTCAACAGCTGAGCTGTGCCTTTTCCTATTAAGTCTTCAGCATCTTTCTCCTTCCAAAATTAGTCATGAATAAAAGAATTTGAAAAGTAATAATATGAAGACAAATGCCATATACTACAGAGCATTTATGAAAAACCTACTTGTCTCTTAGACCATGAATTGCCATGATCCTAGAAAAATAATTTATTTCGGAAGTGGACTGAGAAAACTGACATGTCTGCACTGGATCTAACTCGTCATGTTTCGCAGTCTACTAAAGCTGTCCTCATGTTTTTCTAATATTTTGTGACTGCCATGCAAACACCGATCACAACTATTAAGTCCTTCCTTTGTTCTAAAGAAATGATCAGGGCCCTTTTGTAATTTGAAACTGAGGACACAACCATTCCACACTTAAGATGAGCTGGAGGGGGAGCTTGTGAACATTGCACAGCATAGTTTTAACATTTACTACCGTAAAATATACTACAAAGCTACCTTTGGGCACATTTTAATCTTTCCTGTATAACTGAAATGTTTCCTTCTGTGTAAACAGTAATTTACCTTCTAGGTTATATGGGCTTATTAAAAACAAACATGAAAAGCAAGAAATTTCTTCTCCATTGTTTTGGCCCTCCTCCAAAGAAAAAAGGTCTTCTTCCTCATGAGCCACACATTTGTCAGTTTATAAAATAACTTAGCACACATAAAGTCTGGGAGTAATCAAAACTTGTACGTCCCAGGTTTTTTTGTTGAAAAAAAAAGAACGGGAGGTTTTTCTACCCTTGTAAAGACAAACCCGTATCTGCGTCAGGAGGCAGAAATGCACTGGCAGTGGGATTTACGCGGGGATACAGCCCTCGTCCAGGCTGCTCACTGTGAAGACTGAGGCGCTCAGGCCAGATCAAAAGATGAAGTTGTGGATACCATGGGTATGTTTAATGGATTCAGTGCAAAGAACAGGGATTTCTGTCCCTGGTGGGGCTGATTGCTAATTGTTTGCTAAAAATTCACATACAGGATCGGATTTTTCTCTAGTAGCTAGGTGCCAAAAGATGCAGCTAATTCAGCAGCGGAATTTCAAAACACCTCAGCAAGATAGGTGTCTAATCTCCAACAGCATTTAGGCACTTAACCAGATTATATTCTGTTTAAAAACTTATGGCCTCCTTACCTGCATATTTAGCAGCCTAACTAGCTTTAAAAAGCTTCCCTCCAAGGGCCCACTTTGGAGCAAGAACTGCCCATAAACGTCTAGCTTTTCCCATCAGGATTTTTTTCAGTCCTGTATATTCACTGCCAGAGATCATCAACCTGCACTAGAAATTTGAATGCTGTTACTTCTCTGTATCTGGAACAAACCAGCACCTATTCTTCAGTATGGGAGTACATTGCAGGGAAAGAAAAAGGCACGGTGGGTTCATCTGAAATGCCTTGGAGAGAAGAACATTGAATAATATATCTAGTGAAGAGTACTCTTGAATTCCCAGATCACTTACACTGGTACAAAGAAAAAGTAACTTTAAGATCTACTCCTACCCAAAACACACAGTACTGGTCCTCCATTCAAAGGCAATAATCTCTTTACCAATTCCCTCTTAACAACTTCTCTGGAAAGAATCTTGCAGTTGAATGGATATGCCTGATTAAGCTGGAATAGAATGATTTCATATTTTGGGGGAAATTTTGAGGTTTATTTCACTCAAAAAGAAAAAAAGCTGCAGGAAATTTGTCTAGCAATTAGACTGAAATCAATGTAAGATTACGCATTTTTTATGCTGAATATAGAGAATGAACAACTGCAGTAACTATTTACAGCCCCAGAAAATAACTAAGGTCCACTTTGGATTTTCATCTTAGGTTACTGGAGATTTGACTTCTAACTTTGTCAACGGTAAGATACAAAAAGCTTCTCCATCCAATCCAATCCCATTTAACATTAAGACATAAAAATCTTCAGCGGAACAAGATGATCTACTTTTAAAAAGTCTGACATTTCTCTCTGCAGAACTGTCTTTCACGAAACCAAACTTGTTTCTATTTTCCTTCCTGTCCCCACAAAAATTCTCTCAGTCTGATACTCTTCAATCATGATTAAAAGGCATTTCTCAGTGCCTCCCTGACAAATGTTCCTGCTCATTTTTTTCAGAAGCTGGCAATGATGTTTGCACCTTGCTTGGTGGTTTGTACTGGACTAATTATCATAATAAGAAAACCACTGCCATATTTTGTTGCATACAAACGCTACCCTGCAGGATGCATCAGGTATTTGTGAATAACCAGGTAGGATGAGGGGATTCAGTAGTGCTGGTTTCCCAAACTCACTCCAGTATTCTACCTGGAAACAGCATGACTTTAGCTGGCAACACAGAGCATATTTGCTATCATTTATATGCTGGAACTGTCATGAATATGTCACAAAACATGGCATTTGTCCATATGCTTGGAATTCAGTCAAATATGCCTAAAAAAAGGAGATAAATGCTGTCAAGCAAGCAAGCAAAGATTAAAAATTTGTTATGTTAAAATAAAAGAGCTTCAGGACTGTTCAGCATTACATTTCAAATATAATGAACTCTTTCAGATTTGCAGTTTCTTAATGTGAATACAAGATAAGGGTAGCCACAGATTTATGCTCGGATGTCAATAGTGAGCCTGAACTGCGATAAGACATCGAAATCAGCGGTGAAATACACCCAGCAGTGCCAGTGGTATGCTGCCTGCTGAAGGGTGTATGTGGGTACAGCATCTGTAGCTAGTAGGCCAGTAAAAAAACCCAGAAGAAGAGTTTCTGGCTCTTCTTAGATTCGAGGAACATTTGACCTGATATACCGTATTACCCTTTTCCAGACTAATTCTTGTTTGTGTCCCTAAAGCACTTATGATGTTACCTAGCCCTGTCAGGTAGAGTAAAAAACACAACCTGAGATGAAGCCGGTGAGCCTTGCTGACACTTCACCGGAGTAGCCCAATAAGAGCAGTAAGTGACCCCGTGCTAGATCCCAGAAAGCTTGAGGCTTTGGTTCCAGCTTATTGCATCAAGTGACTGGTACTCAGGAGGCATAACAGACCAAAGGGAAGAAAGGAAAATCTGCATCTTTCACTTCTTGACTATTGTACCTCGGATGACATGAGCAGCCATTAAAGGAGGTGTAATGTATCATATCAAGCTGTCGTCAGCTGGGTCAATGCATAAAACAAAGCGTCAAGTGTGAGGAAGACAATGAAAACAGTAATGTGACAGGATTTTCCAGCACTCCTGTCACCCTCTGGACACAGAAGAATGTAAGAGACATTGCAATTCAGTTCCTCAACCAAGCAAGCTAAATCCCTCCTTCAGATAACCTGGAACATCACTGGCCAACAGTAATATATCATCTACTAAATTCTGTCCAGGTTTGGAAAGAGAAAGAAAATCCAGAGCCAACTAATGGAACTGTTGTCAGCATTCTCCTTGGGTTCGTGGTCTTTATTGAATCAACTTATAAATATCTGGATTTGCAGGGATTCTGAAAGGCTCTGTGCCCTTTAGCTGAAGAATGTCTTTCCTTCTGGTACTATGGGCAGGAGTTTGAATTTCTGGGAACTGTTTCTCAGTTCCTAAAACATGGATGAATCAAAGAGCAAGAATCAACTCAAGGTGTCTCAAGTGTGAAGAAGTATTTGCACGATGTGATCCACTTCCTAGCATCACATGAGCATTTTCACGTAACAAAATTGCTGGTAACATGGAGATTTGGGAGAGTGAGAGTGCTCTTGATCTCTCCTGCTCTCTTTTGCTGCTGTCGCTTCTCTGGCCCTTGTGAGTTAGTGTTGAATGGGTGCTAGGAAGTGTTTGGTGGCTGGAGGAAGTGAATTGTGTATTATATTATTTCCTGAAGTCAAGACCTTCATGAGCCAGGCCATCCCTTCTAGCTTTTGGTTCCTGTATAAAAGCAGCTACTGGGAAAAGCTTTCGGAGCTAACAAGCCTGGAAATCTCTCAAGGCTGTTCTTTGCAGGGGCATGGGTTACAATGCAATGGGATTCAAGTATCTTTGAACAGAAAGCATCGATGCCGTAGAAACCATAACTCACTGCAGCAAGTTCCAGTCCTGTTGCCCTCAACTGTGATCAGATTCACATTGTCACCAAGGTGGACTGAACCTTCTGGTTTGTGACTAACCCATTTGCCCATGGCTCTCCACTCAATCCTAACTCACCCCAGCTGGCTCTCACCTAGCAACCCTGAGCAAACCCATGCAGACTATAGAAATTAATCATTTTACCCAATACATGAAGCCTTCACACACCTTGGCATTTAGATGACTCTTACCTCTTTCTGGTGATACTTTATTGCTACCTTTAGCTTTGCCAAATCATGACATTTTTGGGGATCCAGCTCTTCGCTTTGATCATCTCTGTGATTAAGAATGATCTCCAGTTCTCGGGAACTCCGTGCTTGATCCAAAAGGTCCTTAGCAAAACGCTTGCACTGCTGTGAAAGCTCTTCATATTCAGCCTTGAACTCATTTTCCACTTTGCTGAGCTCCTTCAGCTCCCAGCCCAGTCGGAAAGCCGTCAAGATGGGGTCCTCGCTTGATAAGGCAATCAACGAAGGGCTGGCTAAGGCCTTGTAGATGTTCAGCCTTGACCTGGAATGCCTCAGGCTGTCCACCTCCGAACTGGAGACACATTCCACACAGTTGCACCTGATCTGGTGTGGGCGTGGAATTGTTACCCGTCTTTGGACAAGCAGTTTGATGATTTCATAGTTGTTGGTGTGAGCCGCCAGCATTATTGGGGTGATATCTGGAGTGAATTCTGAAAACTGGGTGTCCATCATCAAGGTTGGAACCTACACAGAGGGACAAATCATAGTCATATTTCACGTGGAAAAGCAGAATCACTTGTCCCTCCTTCATATTTTTGAAGTGATGTCATGACAAAACAGAGCTTTTATAACACCCTCTGTTCTTTAAATCCTATTGTATCCATGCATGCACACACACTGCTATTCTGGCAAAACCATCTTCCCTCAAATCATGCCTGTCTGCTTCCCAAGCAGGAACCTGTGACCATTCAGTTCCCAGTCTGGTGTAAAAGTCAGTCGCATCCCCATCTGAATGCTTTATATATGAACCTGTTCTGAAATGGCTATTGGTTCATATACCAAAAGATGGACTTTCGTGGGCAAAAAAAGGAAGACAAAAGGCCCAGGTAATTACACAAAAAGAAAGGAAAGTCTAGAAAAGAGTGAACACTGAATCGATTTCTGTAACGATCATTATTTGCATTATATCTCCGCATTAGGAGGCCAAGAACCTGCTCATTGCAGGCCCTATACAAACCAAACCAAACACTGGTCGGCAGCTGAGCAAAGCTCTTCCTCACCTTTTCCCT